TACAAAAATTTAATTTTCGACCGTTCGATCCTATGGCAGCTATATGATATAGTGGTCCGATTTTAATAGGATTTTGCATATATATGAGGAGTAGAGAAAAATAATAAGTGCCGACTTTGGTCAAGATATCTTGAAAAACAAAATGTTTTTTCATACAAAAATTTAATTTTCGACCGATCGATCCTATGGCAGCTATATGATATAGCTGTCCGATATTAATAGGATTTTGCACATATATAAAGAGTAAAGTAAAACTAATAAATGCCGAGTTTGGTCAAGATATCTTGAAAAACAAAGGTTTTTTCATACAAAAACTTAATTTTCGACCGATCGTTCCTATGGCAGCTATATGATATAGTGGTCCGATCTTAATAGGATTTTGCATATATATGAGGAGTAAAGTAAAACTAATAAATGCCGAGTTTGGTCAAGATATCTTGATAAACAAAATGTTTTTTCATACAAAAACTTAATTTTCACCGATCGTTCCTATGGCAGCTATATGATATAGTGGTCCGATCCAGCTGGTTTTCACATATGTGCTGCGTGCAACAGAAAGAGGGAGTTCTGCAAAGTTTCATTAAGATAGCTTTAAAACTGAGGGACTAGTTCGCATAGTCACGTCGCCTGCGTGAGCAATCCCGGCTGTATGTGTGCGTCGAGACTTAGCTCGTCGCTCGTGTGAGCAATCCTGGGAGTGTGTGTACTTCATGCCTGTAAAAAATCCTCCCCCTCTAAACCCACTATCCTAGCGAACTGATAAATGACTTGTAACATTCTGGCCCTGGTGAGACTGAAATTTGTACCCCGCGCAAGTAGCTCCTATACAACATGAAAGTCGATGATATTAGTTTTGTCCAATCCCGGATTTGTCAGCACTTGTCAGTAATTTAGCCATCTACTTAGTACACCTTTGGGGACACATAATTATAGCACGATAAAGCTAAACTTAATTCCGAATTATCAATTTATTTCTAGTGCTTATGATAAAACAACACATTTAACTGTAGCTTGTAGACAGAGAATTTTACAAACCGTTAGCTTTAGGTCTCCCGAAACACAGGGATTATGTGTGTCTCTTCTACTAAATACCACTGCAAAGTATATGATTACGGTTGCTGTAGATGCTTGCCATGGATTAGTTAATGGAGCAACAGTCATGCTGATCTTAATAGATTTTGATGCAGCCAGCACTTAAATCGCTTTATAGATGAAATTCTCAAAGTGTACAAAGTGTATGCCATTATTTGTTAAAAGTCTGTAGTGTTATTAGTTGCTTACAAAATTCCTTCATAACCGCTAGGATTCTTCAAAAGAGAAAATGAGGATTTATTTAAGCAACATTCATTTTAAAGGGACGGTTGCATTATGAGATACCAATTTATGTTTGAGCAAGTTTGATGGATATAGGGACCTTTACAACGGCTGGCTCATTTTCTGGATTTAAAGACACTCACTACAAATTGTGACTTGCACATTGATTAGGCATTTTCGAAACTCTCGAGTGAGAAAATTTGCGCTAGCACACTCGAAACAGTGTATAGTTACCACAGTGTATCTCTGTCAGTGTTCAGGATAGCGCAAATTAGGATTCTATGTATAAGTCCATATAAATTAAATATGTTTATTCCAAGGAATTAGTAATGTACTCTCAACTAGAGCACTCTTACTTGTTATACCCTAACACTAAAATAAAGGGGTTAAAGGATTATAATGTATTTGTGTAAATGCCTGTAACAGTCAGAAGGAAGTATATCAGACCCCATAAAATATATATAATCTTGATAAACATCAATAGCTAATTTGATATAGCCATGTCCTTCTGTCTGTATGAACGCAAGAATCGCAGAACAGATACTTGAAATTTGGTACGTAGGTCCTCTTAGTGCCCGCGCAGTAAGTACTCGTTGAAAAAACGATATTGAATTCGTACTTTTTGAGCCAATCTCGTAAGTTATTAAAGCTTGAGATAAATATAAAGATTCTAAAATAGTACATTGTATATATCCAGTACCTTTCATTTTGTAGCTATGACCACATTCCGGCCACCACCACATAGCTATGTATATATAAAGTAAATAAACCAATTTAAGCCCCAATTTTTATGCAATTCTATATTCTATAGTACAATAAATTATACTGTTAAAAATGTCATCAAGACCGGTAAAGTAACACAAAAGCTATTAAATACGTGCCACGTGTCAGCGGCAGCTATTACAAAGCGCAAGAGTTTCTGTAAATATGTGTATACACACATTCACAAGCGTCTGCATTAAATTCTTTTAACAGCATTGCAATTGCGATTACATTGTTTTCTCTGCAGTGTATATGTCCTGTTTTTTTAATTGGTTTTATTCTTCCCTATACCCATTGAATATGGATAAAATATGTATTATGTATTTGTGCAAATGTATGTAACAGGCACAAGGAAGCATCCACCTCCCACCCCATAAAGTGTATATATTCTTAGTCAGCATCAATAGCCATGTCGATCTAGCCATGCCCGTTTGTCTGTCCGTCCGTCCGTATGTATGAACGCAAGAATCTCTGAACCTATAAGAGCTAGAGACTTGAAATTTTAAATGTAAGTGCTCCCAGTGCCCGCGCAGATCGAGGTTCCGATAATCGATAACTTACTCCGTTTCCAAGCAATCGATAAAAATCGATATCGATATCCTGTTTTTTTAGGCAATTTTTGGTAAATAATAAGAGCTAGAGTCACTAAACTAGACAAATAGCTTCTAAAATATAATATATATATATATGCATGTGATGTTGGAAGAAGAGGGTTCAGGGTATCCCCTAGTCGGGAGCTCCCGACTAGAACCTTGTTTAAACTAAAATTACTGTGCATATTCATTTGCATGTGTGCCCTCTCATACATAACATTATCTCTATAAATAAAACAGTTTGTCCTGACTGACTGACTAACCGATTGGAGATCAAGGCACAGCCCAAACTTTATGGGCTACGAAGCTGAAAGTGTAGTTACCTTTTGTGATGTAGGTGCACGTTACGGGGTGTCGGGAAATTCCACCCGCTTGTGTGGAAAAATCGTGAAAGCTGTTTGTATGAAACTTTTTTGTTTACCATCCCCAAACTCATTTTCAAAGAAATTTGTTCCAATTCGCTTGAACAGTGCTTTGTTCTTTTTGGTAAATCCGTCCCTTGGTGGAAATGGGGGTCGCCCTCATATTTACTTCCAAGGATATAAATAAAAAATCATTTGAGACTTGTTTCATATATTTCGTAAAATCTAAACTCCTTTGGAAGAAAGTGCATTTTAAAGAATTTTTGTGTGAATTTTAAGCTGTGTCCGATTTGCATCAAACGTATTTTATAAGTTCTACATAAGAATATATTGAACACATCTTTCAGCGACTTGGGAAATTCTACTCGCAACAGTGATAAAATAGTGGAAAACCAAACTCTCAAAGTACCAGGACTACGAGCAAATCAAGAAAGCATAGGTATTTCTTGGGTCTCAATAATTCACGAACAATAACTGTTAAATATTGTAAGAATGCATCATCCGCATGCCTCATCAATTAGGAATTAATGAAAATTATAAGCAAAATAAATATAAAGGAATGTGCTAATAAATAATGATTAACAATATTCGGAGACATTTTTTGGACGGGTATAATCAAATTTTTGTTCACATCTCACCCAATTATGTATTGGTAGTGATTAAAAAATCCAAAAACGACTCAGAGATTCAAAGCAACCTCTAACTTCGCAAAGAGTGGTCCTTGGAAAACTCAAGGCCGAGGGTACCACCAGATTTGTCCGAAAACCTGTAGGGTATTTTTAGCAAACAATACTATCACAAGAAACGTGTCCCTGCTCACTCTCAAAGTCAGGCGAGATCAAATAAGGACATTGTGGTAGAACACTAATACGAGATATTTAACAAAGCTGTCGGCCAAGACAACATCAATCAGTGGTCTTGTGGCCACGCAAGCCAAGTACGATTGCTTGTAATCCGTTTATGACCAATTTGCGGCACACTTAAGCGAAACTATAGAGAGAACTGTCTAAATTAGACAATTCACAATCAAGGGGAATGCGGTAGCCATGGGAGGGAGGCTTACTTTAATCGCGCGTTGCTCTTACTTGGGTTCGGTTGGCGTGGGCCATTGATTGTGATGCAGATATCATAATTCTGGCCCATACCACCACTCGCATTAGTAAACAACGAGCTGTGGTGGTACCGACCAGAACATTCGAAAAAAGAGAGAAGATATACCAAAAAGTCAAGATCTTTAACCTAAATTCGTTTTTAATAACTAAATGATTTTTCCACATGGGGTATGAGCGACATTCGATAATAAGTCATACACATGCATATATCAGCTGTATCAGCTGACGATGCGTATAATACGATCACAGTATGAAATCCAAAAGCATGCAAAATCTGCCTAATCCAGCGAAGAAATTTACAAACGCAGCACATGATTTGTGACTTATCTGTTGAATCTGTCGCGGTCAAGCCAAAATTACACTGGTCGGGCTTGAGTTATTAGCAAGGGATATACGGTGCTATGGTAGACTACAAAATGTTTAGTCAGTTGTAAGCTGGTATGTATTCTTAAAAACCATTTCAAACTGTAGATATGGGGATTTATTACTATATGGGATAACAAACATGTCAACGCAAATAGATTTATATGCATCAGCACTTCAAAAACTTTATTGATGTAATTTTTCGAGGCAACCTTGGGAGTATATCCTTGCTTAAAGGGTACACATTGAACAGAAGCTATATAGACGCAAATTATGATATATGAGATAAGACTAGACGGAAGCAGTTTCTAGTTGTACCCTCTAGCCGAGTGGTGGTTCACGCTTGATATCGTATGCAATATGCTGCTATAAATAGTTCCATGACTCCCTCTTGATAGAGGAATTTCGTCGAAGAGCAGTTCCAAATAAATTGCGATTGTTGATGTTTGTAAATGAATTAAAGTGGGGAAATTATTTAAAATAAATTTCCTTACCCAAAAGTCTTCCATATGTCGAAACATGTAATATTCATCCAAGAAAAAGCGGCCATCAGAAAGAAATATACAAGAAAACCTTTAAAGAAAACAATGTTGGGTAAATAAGAGTTAATTACAGTTATTTTTTATAAAATTTATAAAAAAGAGTTCGAAAATATTACTGTAAAATAATGCTCGGAAATATTAATATATCAAAATCATAATTATAGTAGATAAGCTTAGTTGTATTAATTATAATTAAAGTAAAAGCAAGGAAACATTTGAATTTATTAAAGCTAGGGGCAATGAGCCAAATTATATGAATTATACGTTGTAAGGTTAGTTTTAAATGTAACAGCCACCGGTCGTTGCAACCAAGGATCGCTAATCAGCTGCAAATCACCTTTCTGGAAGAACACCGCCTCTACTTGGAGGCAAAGAGCGAAACCTGTGGAAGTTGAACGATTGACGCGAACACACAGCACGTAGCCGTGTGTTGAGTGAGTAATTAATAAAGGGTTCGTCACAACATCCGTGAGAGCAATCTCGGCATTTAATATTACTGTTCAGCTTGCTCTAAGGCATTTGTGGTTACGATAACCCTAGTGCACTGAAGGCAATATCGAACTGCTCTACGATATACAGTACGCTTTGCCTGGTGTGTGTACACATGTGGATTTGCGGCAGCCTGCAGATGAACCTAGGGTATTAAACAGTCGGAAGCACTCTTGACAAACATACCATAGTAAAATAATGATATATAGTAGAGAGCTGCATGAATGGCAAAAAAACACTATGTTTGTGTCGAATATGTATGTGTGAGTGAGTGCGGACACGTAGAACTCGGACGCACAGTATTGCAACGGAAGAAAGCGAATTAAATGAGTGAAAATGCGATGGAAAAAGAGGTTCCATTTCACTTTTTTAATTGTTATTGCCTTGTCGCACATAAAGAAAAAGATGAAAATAAGAAAGAAGAAAGGGGAAAAAAAAAAACAAAACAAAAACAACTAAATGCGCATGCAAAATACATATCTCTCTCGTCTCGTCACCGTTTTTTTCTTCGCCCATTTCTTTTAACTGCTTGCATCTGTTGTATCGAACAAAATGAAGGCACACACGCAGTGGGATTAAATATGGATAGCACAGGTGGAGTAGCAAGGGCAGATCTCAGTGTCACAAGCTCGTTCTGTGATATCGGAAAACGGCCACTTCTCTTTAATAACTCAGTAAGGGGTTTCGCTAAACGCGAAAAGTTCGGAACAAACTTTCGAAAATAGGAAAATAAACCTAAGCACTAACATTATATCCCAAATAATTAATTCGTTTCTGTAGAAATCTGCTTTTTTTGTTTGCGCCCATGATCAGCCCATTCACAAACATTTGTATGTGTGCGTCTGTGTGTAGAGGTCCAAAATCAGAAATCCTAAAATCCTGTTAAATTTGCATCGGGGACAGGCAGGCAGGCAAGCAACAGGCACACAAGCGCATAAATGCTTCTATTCATACACAAAATATGCAAGTATGCGTGTATAGCGAGTCCAAAATATTCTAAATGCGCACATGGCAACGCTTGGGTACCCTTACCAACGATAGCGAGCTAAAATGCAAGAATTTCGCATCGACGTGGCAAACCCTTTCTCTATTTCATATTAGCCGTGCCTTCGAAAGGGTAGAAAAGCCTCAGCTTTTGGGAAAAATTGAATTTGTGCGCAGTTTTGCTTGTCGGACAAATACACACACACACACATTGAAACGATCCCTTAACATAGAGAGAGCATTGAGAGCTGAGAGTAAGTGCGAGCGAGATAAAAGTTAACAGCGTTGTCGTTCTATCGCACAAATCATATGGACGAGAGTGCGCCAAGCACTTTCCTGTAGAGTAAGCGGTTCAAAAATACATCATATGTATATCTTACTTCCTTACTCGCGAGTTTGGACCAGATGCCACCGATACATTTTGTGTCTACTTCTAGTACTCATGTCTAGTCTATATGTTGTTTGGTTAGTGGTTATACCCTACCTGGCGGTCTGACAGTTCGGTTAAAATTATTTGGTGTTCCTAAATGGTGTGAGTGACAAAATAATATAATCCATATACACAACGATTTGTCTGGCCCTTGCCATATCCTTTAACGCATCGGAAATGAATCCTTGAAATACAGCTGACCCATTTTTAACGCCAAACGGCATCCCATGATATTCAAATTGACCATCAGGAGTAACAAAAGAAGTGTACTTAATCGATTCCCCGTCCATCCCTACATGGTAAAACCCACTTTTTAAATCTATCGCAGAGCACACTGTCTTTCCTTTCAAGTACTCTAAACAATACTCTAGTAGAGGCAACGGGAAATTGTCTCGAACGGTTTTTTTATTTAGCCCACGGTAGTCAACACACTTCCTTATTTTTCCATCCTTTTTATACCCAGAACCCATGAAAAATGGGTATAAGGGTATATTATATTTGTGCAATATCCAAATGTATGTAACAGGCAGAAAGAAGCATCTCCGACCTCATAAAGTATATATATTCTTGATCAGCACCAATAGACGAGTCGATCTAGCCATGTCCGTCTGTCTGTCTGGCTGTCTGTCCGTATGTATGAACGCAAGGATCTCAGAGCCTAAAGGAGCTAAAGACTTGAAATTTTAGATGTAGATGCTCATAGTGCTCGCGCAGATTTGTTTCAGATAATCGATAACTTACTCCGTTTCCAAGCAATCGATAAAAATCTGTATCGATATTCTGCTTTTTGGGCAATTTTGGTAAATAATAAGAAATAAAAAATAGAATATATATATGCATTTGATGTTGGAAGAAGAGGGTTCAGGGTATCCCCTAGTCGGGAGCTCCCGACTAGAACTCCTTTCTTGTTTATTTTAATTTATTTGGGGCTGGAATAAGAGGGTTCAGGGTATTCCCTAGTCGGGAGCTCCCGACTAGAACCGCTTACTTGTTCTAAATTAAATTGTGCAAAATGTCCGCGCTTTTTGATGGAAATACTAAAGAAGCTAAAATGTAGTTCGAAATTAATAGTGACTTTGCAAAAGCATGATAAAGTTCTAGGAAATATTAAGCGGTTAAGGACCGCGTTTGAAGAAAAAGTAACTTCATTTCATCAAATACAAGAAATCAAATACAACAATGTGGACTGAAGACTAAAGAATGTAGAAAGTCCCAGTCATCACGATTTATCAGCGTCATTCAGTCAACATCATATGTCACAGTTACCCAAAGTGCTGTTGCCAAAGTATGGTGGAAACCATTCAGAATTCAAAAACCTTACTTGTCGTTTTGAAAGTCTGGTGCACAATGATTCCACACTGCCCAAAGTCGAGAAATTTAACCATTTAATTTCTTGCTTGTCTGATGAGGCCTTAGGAACAGTAAAGGCAAATCAAATCATAGATTGCCATTGGCAATGTCAAAGGTAGACCAGGTAACAAAATCTCGACTGAAGAACAGCTTGATAGTTTGCCATCTTGGTCAGATTGCGCTGCTAAATGGAATCGGCACTATCAACATTTAGCCGCCGAAGAGTCAACTATGGGCAAAACGAAACCAAGACAAGAGGTTAATAAGGGACACATCAAGTCATCGTTTTCGTGCTCTAAGGGTACAGGTTCCAAATGCAGCTATTGTTCAGTCGCTTATAGTCTCGCAAACTGTCAATCGTTTACCGCTCTACCTATTACTCAACGCTTTGGATGTTGTAAAGCAACACAACTGCATCAACTGTTTAAAACAGGTGCAAACTGAAAAAAAATATGTAGAGGATCGAAATGTCGAGTGTGTTCAAAGCCACACCACACTGTACTTCACGGGTATTAGAGCGAGAATTCGCAAATGCAAGCATCTACTTCCGCCACAGCTTCTCAACAGCAACAGGCTTATGTAAGTCACGTTCTTAGTGCAAGTACAGGTAATCCTAGCCACAGCTGTAGTAAAGTTAAAAGATAAATTTGGACATTTCCAGCCCGCGAGAGCGCTTTTAGATTCCTGATCGCAAGTAAATTGTATGTCAGGGGACTAAGCATAACTCTTACGACTACGTCGTGAAGATGCAGACTTGAAAATTGTCACAGTGGGAGCCACTGCTTCGAGCATCAAACACAAAGTCCATACATCGGTTCAATCGCGTTTGAATTCTGATTTTTGGATTCTGAGTTCTATCTCTATATACCAACCTGATCAGAAGATTCACTCCTCACAGTGGAATATACCTCCAAATATTGAACTGGCCGACCCCCCGATTCCACAAAAAACGAAAAGTTTTTCGACCACCTGTGTGTTGGTCAAATAAAGCTGTTTCCTGAACATCCAAGGATTCAGATTGTGTCAGGAAAATATTCGCAAAGCACATCATTGCAAGCACAAGATAACTCTGTCGCAACTGATAGTGACACAAGTTCTCTCGACACACTAATACAACGATTTTGGGAATTAAAACAGATCCCAGAGAAGTGAACGAAATTTTAAAGATGATGTGCGTAGGTTGGAATATGGCAGATTTGAGGTCAAATTGCATTTAAAACGAGTCCAAAAGTATTGAAATTATCCTTTGAGACAGCTTAGCGTCGGTTTTTGGCTTTAGAGCGCGGACACGAAAAGGATGACGTACTGCGAAATATGTATAACGATTTTATGGAAAAATATCGTGACCTTGGACATATGTCACCGCTTACGTCAACTTCTCCAGGACTACATTATTACATTCCCCATTAATGCGTCATGCGTACTGATAGTAGAACCACCAAATTGCGCTTCGTCAACGTTAATCTCACTAAAAGAGACTTTGATGGTAGGTCCAAATATTCAGAGGGGGTTATATTTAACCATTGCCCGGTTTCGGTTGCATAAGTATGTTTTAACAGCTGACATTTCAAAAATGTATCGTCAGGTAGACATCTAAGACATCATCGCTAAGGATGTCAGTTAGTTCTATGGAGGCAATATAAATCAGAAAGTTTACAGACGTTTTAACTCAACACTGTGACTCATGGCACTGCCTCCGCTCTCTTTTTGGCCATACATTGCTTATTTGAACTAGCAGAACTCTACGCAGAATCTCACTGAATTGCTTCTCCCTTCAT